GCCAAAACTTCTGCACTGGTGGACAGAACCAAAGAGCGTGGATGTAATTGTCTGGTGTATTGCCTTGACAGTGTGAGCAGTTGTTGGCGGATGTAAAACTGTCGCTCTCCTGCAAAACTTTGGTTGGAACATCATCACCCAACCACTCTATAGTCCGAACTTTACACCCAGTGAGATAATCCATCCACAATACGAGGTTAGTCATTTATATACTGATGCATGGGCTGGGCTGTAGTTACATCGTAAGGTTTTAAAAACTGATCTTTAAAATGAACAGCGGTAATAAAAACCGAGAGAGGCCGACAGTGATCACTGACTGTTTTTAGGGGCTTTTTGAGATTAAATAGAACAAGATACAAAGCATGTTAAAAACACAAAAGCCTACGCCTACGCAGGGTAGTTTGGGCCCGGAAGCAAGATTTGTCATGTCATCACTTAAAGACTGGATCCCTTTTCTGTGTGTGGACCAGAGAAATATCGATACTGGCAGCAGTTTTCTGAGCCTGTTTGTCTCGTTTCCTAATCATCAGTAAGCATGCGAGGTGATGCGGTCTGGTACTACAAACATCGCCATGTACTTTCAGCCTACACAAGAAGGGCAACAGACAACGAAAGAGGTTTTAAGTGGACTTTCTCTACTTTTTTCCCCACGTCAAACGGCCGCCCGCTGTGGGCGTCAGCACTCCCGGCCGTATTTATGGGCCATAATGTGAGGTGTGGAACTGCATTTCCTTCATAGGACCTTGCCGCTGGCAGACTGTATTCAAGCGAGCACTATGCACCGTGAAAGCCTGTCATCAAGAAGCACTGCTCTGTGTGATTTATCAGAAGAGGATGTGGTTGGAAGGTCACAATGAGTCAACCCTTTCCAGCCATATAATTTCATCAGATTTGCCATTTTCCTCCGGTGAAGAGAACTTTGTAAACTAAGCACTAGTTTCATTTCTCTTCCCCCCACTTTTTTGGAACCATGAATTGCCAAGTCCTCTAAGTATAGTGTCATTTTAGACTTTTTAAGTCTTCCACCTATTTAGACTCTAAACAGCTAGTGTGGTGGCTGATGAATAATAATTTTCTCTTGTCCAATGTCTGCTTTGAATAAGTCACAGGTTTGTTTTTTCCCATTGGCTGTGTCAGTAGCACTAGTCTCAAATAAAACACGTCCTCTCCTCTGGTAATTACAAGGTGCACAAACAGCTCTCCCAGCATTCCGATAGAAAGGGGCTAATTGCCAGTGCAGTGACCTTGTCCACATATGTGTGTGTCCAGGTGTTGTCTCAGTATTATGGTTTCTTCTCTCCTTTCTGCAGAGTGAAGACTCTGTTGTTTCCTCTGTGCTAAAAATCAGTTGTGGGTTTTCTGTAACAGATGGACTGTGACAGGTGTGCTTGTGTCTGTGTGTGTGTTTTGTGTGTGAGAGACTTCCGCTCCCCTGCACCTCTTAGCCATTATTAGGTGTAGCTGCTTCTTCGAAGCAAGATTAATGAGTTTCTGAGCATGCCTTTGCAAAAATAGACATTTTTGCTCAAGTGATGTAATCAGCGCTGTAGTTGAAGGAGGATAGAAGGGGACAGGACAGACCTAATCTCCCTCAGTGGGATCGGTCTTTAATGGAGTTGGTGCTTTTTGCTCTGACCTTGCTGGACCTGATATTACAGCAGCATGAAGCCATCTCTCATGAGTCTGATCCTGTTACCACCAAGTGGGAATCCGGATGAAAGACGTCTCTTTCTCGGTATTTCCTATAATTGATGAGCCTGTCTGTAACTTATTTGTTTTGTGGGCTGTGTCATTGTATCAACACAAAAACGGACACGTTTTTACATGTAACTCATGATTACGTTTTCTTTTTACAGGAAAGTGGTGGTGCCAGGCAGCACAGGAAAACAAAACGACACACACTGTTGTTCTGGGTTAACCAGTAAGTCTATTAACTAGTCACATGGTGCTAGCATTCACCCATAATTTAGATCTTGTCAGTGCTGTTTAGTAGTTGTGTGTTGCATCGTTCACTTTGCTGTTTTGTTTTTATGGAAATGAGTTGTAGTGTTTTGGTTGATCCCTAAGCCACAGTTTGGTTAGAACGCCTAGATGTTACAGACAGATATTTGTTTGCGTTGAGACAGATGCGTACTTCAGGAGGTGAATGGAAATGTTGCACAGTCTGTGAAATAATGATACAAAAGTCTGGTGGGACATTATCGTGAGAGGCCCTTTTATGATCCAGTATTATTTGAAGATTTGTATGTTTTTAGGAAATTAAGTCTTTTTTTTTTTTTTTTTAGAATTTTTTTTACATGTGTTGACCAGTTTTGGGTCATAGTTTTTGAAAAATTATTTGAGTTTTTTAAAATTAATTGTGTGCATTTAAAAAATAAAGACTACTAGGCGGGGGCTGTCTGTGCTGTTTCACTATCGTTGTTCTTGCATAAACTAGCCCTCTGTATACATAAAGGGCTGAGCAATGCAATTCAAGTAGTGCACCATAACTAATAAGTAAGTATTAATGACTCTGGTGTTTACTTTCTTAATGAATGGCTGACATTAAAGCAGTGATTCTCAATTGGGGTCTCTTGATTTTTGTCAGTCCAAAATCCAAAGCTGTTCCCTTTTAATTACTAGGAAGAAAAAGAAGACCAAAAACAAATCAAATCATCTGAGAAATCATTTGAGAATCTGAATTTCATTTGCTGTTTTATTATCGGTTATTGTGCTGACTAAAAAATACCAAGAAGAAATGGACACAACTCGGAGTGAAAACAAAGTGGAACAAAGAGGACTTGGACTCTAGTGTCAAAACAATACTCTTGCTGATACTCTTTTAGTTACTCTTGTAGTTAGCCTTCTGTGTATCTGTCTACATATTTTTTCCACCCTTTTTGTTGTAGAGTCCTTATTTAGCTTCTGAGATTTAAATCATTTCGTTGTTTGTGTAGCTGTTGGAAATGTGTTTTTAAAGTCAATAATACATTGACTTTAAAAACACATTATGCATGGCTGCAGCTAAGCACACAAAACCGTGCTTAGCTGCAGCCATGTGATTATTAGCGTATGTGACTGGCAGGCAGTTGATTGGCTGGAACTAGCTGTGTTGTGCATGTGAAAGGTGTCATTTGTGCGGAGCCGGTTTCTCTAATGCCAGTACAAATTCACATTTCCACAAAAAGACTTACAGTCAAAACAAGATTACAATAACTACAAGCAAGCAACGAGGAATATTCAGTCAGTTCTCTGTATGTGTACAGTACAATATTAACATGACCGACGTCAGAGCAAAGCCACGCAGGTGTGATCACAGCCAGCCAAGCGGTGTCTGCGCTTACATCTGCATGCACAGCACCACAACTGAATGTAGGTCACAGATGAAGGTAGTGGTGGTGGGGGTGGGCATTGGAAATGGAAGTGAAGGGAAGAAGAAGCCCTTCATTATGTCATTGTGTTGGAGTTTCAGTGACAGGACTAGAATAGGATGTACAGGGAGGTTTTAAGAATTAAAGTAATAATTCTTCTACATGTCCGCAAAAACAAAGATGCAATATGTCAGCAGGCCCGTCTTGTTCCTCTCTGACAGGGTCAGAAAACAACTACCTGCATTAGATAAATGACTTCTGCTCACTTGTTTTGCTCTTTTTTTGGAGGTTTTTTTTTTCCCAGCACAAGAAAACGTTTCAGCTTTGACATTATCCTGTCGCCACTTTCTCATTTATGTGGGCTTCAGTCTATTTGCTATTCTTATCAGCTGCTCTTTGAAGTTTGAAGATGTGATGAAGTGTAGCAGACCCTTTGGAGAGCTCAGATACTGCCAGTGTAATTACACAGGATGAAGTGTTCTGTACCACATGGTAATAACTCCATCGCCTCCTGAGGCTAAAAGTACGCTGGACTTTGCAGCAGGGCACTTAAGAAGCGAGGAAGGAGAGACACTCTTCATTTAATCTTTGCATGCGCTTCGTCTTTATGTTCAATTTCTCACTTCAGCTCACGTATTCAAGTGACCTCTGATGTCTTGCTTCTCATTTTCGGTGTCTCATTTGTTCCTTGTCAGATCCAGAACCAACCAAGTTTCCCCAGATTAGATGAGAAAGTGCAGCATGTACAGTACAGTGAAATGTTATGCACTGGACGGGCTAAGTTTGAATAATATCCATTAACTTTGGACGATTGGACAAATGCACCACCCAACCCTGTTATTTAAAAAAAAGAAAAAGAAAAAAGAAGCCGTTCCAGTAATGGCCCCGGCTCTGGAAGTGTGTCTGTCTTAATGACACTTACAGCTTGAATCGTGTCGGCAGACCAAAAACATTGGACGCATTGATTTTGGTTTCCAGAGTCTGTATTTGGTATGTTGCTAACATGGCTAATTTCCATCTCTGTCTCATATAGAGCAGTTTAATTGGTGAGATCAAAGGCTGTGTAGCTGTTTCATCACTTTTACACTTTATTCTTTTGCCTCTTGGAGTAATTTATTCAATCTCTTCTTCTGGAAAAGTTCTGCTCATGTGAAGGGGAGTGATGCGTGAAATGTGAAATGCAGATTAGTTGGTGGAATTGCACCAAAACAACATTCTCCTTGACTTTGAACTAGGTGATGTGAATAAGCAATGAATAGGAAAGGGCTCTGTTCCAACAAGTTCTGACTTTAGCCATAAACATATCAGAGCAGATTAACTCAGAGATGTTCAACTTAGTTCCGTGAAGGCTGATCAGAATAAGTTCAGTCTGCTCTGAGTGCGTTCACCCCGAGTTAAGTGTGTGCATGAGTAGAGGGGGAAAAAGCGATCATCAGCAGAGCTTCGGGATGCACCATGGCAACCGGTAAATAGAGAGCAAAGCTTCCATTTGAATCCAGTTGACCGAGGAATATGAATGTGTGTCACCGTGGACCACGAGGTTGATCTCAAAGAACAGAACAGAGTCAGTTTAGTTAGCTTGAACCACGCTACCGGTATAATAAACACTGTTACATTTTTAAACAGAGGATATCATTTTTTTTTTGTAGTGTCTTTTTTATCTTTTGCTATGTGCTAACATGGCTAATTTCTTTTACCTAGTTTGAATTTTCAACAGGTAGAATCCACATCCTGTGTCATGTGACTGATTCAGGTGGTTTACATACATACATATTGCTGTCAAGCTTAAAGGTTAATATTTATTCCAAAGTGAAGAGATAAGGTTAACTTGGGTTGAAATATTTCTTTTCTGTCAGAAGCTTATAAAAATGTGTTTTAAATAAATAACAAAGGTGTAGAAAATCCTAAATCTAATCAGTCAAAAGCTACTAGTCCTACAAACAAAATGGAAAAGTTAATTCATTAGTCAGTTCCAAATAAATAATGTACACAATAATACAAAATATAATCTCAAATTATATCAGTTCTTCTGTATAGACTTAAAGTGTTAAAAGTGTTGTTTTATTTATAGCCTATAGCACATTTAAACAACAGAAGTTGTTGAAGACGGGCACGTTTACACTCCAGGTCTCCAAAAAACCCAGTTTCAAAATGGAAAAGCCGAAAGGCGTGTTTGATCGTGTTAAATCACTACTGTAAAAAGTAAAAGTGATTTATTGGTCTTTAAAATGTATTCAGAATTTGCATATTGATGATGATTTATCTCATAAATCATGACACGCTGCTCTGCCCTATATAAGCTTTATGTGGTAAAAGTATCTGTATATTGTAGCGGCAGAACAGACCCTGTATTTATTTCGTATCGGCTCTATACCGAAATCTGCAGTATTGCACGTTCTAATTTAGCATATGTGTTGCTGCTGCCAGCTGCTGCTTCTATGCTGTGTGCGTTTACCTAATCTGACATGACTCTAACTCACCATGATATTTGGTTCAACGCTGTGCTTTTGTGTCGTCTCCCTTTTAGTTTTATTGACTTTATGTGACCATGTCTTTGTCTTTTTATTTCCAAGCCCCAACTATAAATATAGTTAGGCGTGTCAACATATTTGAAAATGTCTGACTATCTCCAACTAGCTTTTAAAAACGTAGTTTAAACATTTAGTCATCTCAGGCTAATCTTTATTGGTATTACTCGCTTCATCTTCAGCTTCTCAAATGTCACAGCCAGTTTTTCTTCAGTGTGACTGACTGCAACGTGACAAATGATTGATTGTTGTGTTGTGTGTCTAAAGCTTTATGCAGATCAATTATATTTAAACAGCAATTGCAATCATGTCAAAGCAGCCATGTTACTAAAAAAAATGAACTAATGTCTAACTGTGATTTCAGTGTTTGTAGAAACATAAACTCCTGGAACCTAATTCGCTCCACTTGTGAAAGAGTGAAACTGAGTGAAAGAAGAACTGATTCAGATGCTGTCAGAAGAAACGAGTTGGAGAGAAACTCAGAGTTTGCAGCATGAATTGAAACCTGGCTTCTGAAACGGGGTCTGGGGCACCGGCAGGGTCTTCACCACTTTCTGTTTCGCCTCACGCTGCTGCACATTACGCAGAGCTTCATAGTAGCTGGACGTGTCTAAAGATGTTTGTACCCGTTAGAATAGTCTAAGCTGAAGGCAGATTAAAACACCCTCCGTTCTTGCACGCCACTTCATGCAGCTCTCATCTGCCTCCAGAAAGACATTCGGTCACATCCCAATAGACACAAATTCCTGGGATAAGACAAGCTGGCATTTATTATGAATAAACTCTATTTATTTATAATAAATGGCAGTTCCAAATGCACAGTTTTTGAACTCTGGAAAATGTGTATATGGGGCAGACTTTGGAAGCTCCCATGCACGCTGACAGGCACTTCAGTGTTAGGGGCCAGTGCGTAGTTTCTCTGAACTAGCTCTTCAGATATGCTGTCCAACCAAGTCAGACATCAAATGCGTTCATAGACATCCCCATCGGCCGCACACTCGGATTGGAATGCATCCCATCATCTTACACAGGCTTGTGTATGT